CTAGTAGACGACGCAACTTGCACTTTTCAAGTTGTCGACGCAAAACGAGTCCCCCTAGTAGACTTTGCATTTTTCATTTCAAGTTGACGCAGACACACTTTTTCTAGTAGACGACGACGCATATAACAATCTCACTGATGGTGTGAAATTTTCTCAGATATTATTAGGCCAATAAAAAAAATGCGGGTTAGGGGTAGGGTTAGGGTTTCGTTTCGAGGAAAAGACCACCCAGTGCTTCACGGGGCATACAGCAGACTGCTAATTGTTTTTTTTGCACTAACGATTATTCATATCTTCTTTGTGATTACAGGTGAGGAGACGAAATGCTGCGATTCGACGAATCTTTGCAATTCCGAAGATGGAGGTTTGGCTGTTAGAGTTTCGGTTATGACTGTTTCCATAACGACCATAATCTCGATGTTTTCAATTTAGAAATTAGAAGAAACACGTTTCTTTTTGTGTGTGTGACTTTTGATATTGCTGTAGTTATAATATTTTTTGTAAATTCGTGACCACCTATTATAATATCGTAACGGTTCACTGTATTATGAAAATAACAGTCTTTATATATATGGTAATTTGTGACATCATTGGTATAATATAGAGGTATTGCGTTTCATTACTACTCTCTTTTACCTTTATAATGCGGTGACGGTGAATTAAAAATATAAACTTGTAGATACCCGAAATAGTTTTTTGAATTAAAATCATTTTTTTTTCTTATTTTGACCAACTTTGAAGTTTAGAATGGCTACCAGGGTAGTAGAGTCATTGTTTCCATGGACACAAGTTCCGGTACCATCGTTCCATGTGTTTTTTTATCTTATTTATTTGACGGCACATTTCACTCAGCAAAAGTTCTTTTACCTTTGTCCATTTTTTAGTAGCTAACAGCGTCTTTCGGGCATAAATACATGTCGTTTGCATGTTCTGAGGTCTTGGACATCATATTATATTGCAGGTCTTACACCAGGGGACAGAAGACGTAAATGGCCGCCGATCTATCGTTGAAAGGAACTCTCGTTAAAAGCGAGAGAGCCATGTCCTTCATGATTTCCCTCCACCATCCACCGATCCAAATATCATGGTTGAATATAACGTGGGAGTAGTGTACGCCATCGAGGGTAGGGATGGATTTAAGGTCTGCTAGAGTCTCCATAAAAGCCGATGCACCATCTTGAAAGTAGCCAGTTTCACAAATAAAACAAATGGGTCCCAAAAACAAGTTTCGCTGCTAGTAGGCGATTGGCTGCTCGATGTTAATATTTCTCTTGAAAAACAAATATCTCACAGGAAATGAAAAGAAAAGAAACACATTTGATACTGAAATGCAAAACTCACAATAATGTCACCTTGACCTCCCGGAGTTTACAATGATCAACCCCTTAGACGTCAAATCAAAAACAAAATCTACACATAATTGTCCGCAGTCTTTTTTGTGTATCTTCATCCGCCATACGATCTGATGTGTAATTTGAATTGTTAATCATACAGTCGTTAAAAAACGACAAAAATACGCTGTATTTATTTTTTTTCAAAATGCATCCATGGCCACACGCGTGGTAAAGTTAGCCACGCAGTGTACACACCTGTTTTGTCACAGGGGTTTGAATATTTCTAATTTGAGACGAATTGTTCTTCCGGTTTCACGTGATCCAAATTTAATTTCAAATCACGGACAGCGTTCGACAATTGACCTCATGTTTTCACAAACAAAAGGGAGCCTATATATGGGTACCAGTTACGCCGAATTCACAGCAAATCTCACCTGGGAACGGGAAACCTTTGTTACATGTGTGTACGTGTAGGAATCGTAGCGATGACGTCACCTACATATATACCAGGTGTGAGCGGGCAGGGAAGAACAGCGCTGCTTCTCCGAGATCAGAGCCACGGTCTGATAACCCCCTCTCAACATAACACGTGGAAGTAAGTATGTACAACTTCCGTTCTTTGAATATTTTGTCAATATCAATCGAGGCATCAATGTTTGATGATAAGACCTTAAATTTCTTGGTGTTTATCAAACGGCGTCATTCACATCGATGATCGAAGAATCAAACAATTGTTTTGTTCCATTACATCATTATGGCTTTTGTATACACAACAAGACGCTTTTCTCCGGAAAGACTTTCCATTGTATACCCCATATCTGATCATTACTATAACCCTACCCTCTACCACCCCCTAATTTAATTGTATATATATATATATGCCCTGAGAGCATCGAGAATGATATATATTATTTAATTGGGGGTGGAGGGTAAGGATACAACGAAAAGTCTTTCAACCTTCAAAATAAACGTATAAACTAATGTGGCGATGTATTAAATTTGCACTGCCTTAATACATTTTAGAGAGTTCAAAATTTTCTCTGTATCGTGGCTGTCTTCTGGTCGAATCCCTAATATGGTATATTGGCCAGATTTGAAGACTCAGTTTTGTGGAAAAGTGTCGTTCTTATACGAGCTACATCATTATCATTTATTCAATTGCTCACCTACGTATCAGTACATTTTCCGGGGAAAAACAAGTGTAAACAGGCACCCATATAATAAAGTATATTGATCCAATTTGTTGCTGGAAACGGATTTCAAAATGTAGTTAATTATTATTTTTTTAAAAACATTGAATTTTGAATCACCGAATGATGCAAAAATATTAACAAATATGATGACGCGGTGGACGCTCTTACTGTTAACAGGTGTTTGCTAATCACATATAGCCACTGTGGTGCCGTTTACCTCATCGTCAGCTGTATATTGTGCACGTGGAATTTCACAGGTTTTTAACCAATCCAAACACAGAGGCGAATAAGTTGTTTTCAAGTGCATTCCAACAATATCACGCAAACCAAAGGTTGTGTTCAGACAGTTTAGATTCGATTAAATATTTAATATATATATATATATATATTTTCGAAAAAAAGACATAGCGTATTTTATCTTTCGTGGGTGCCTATGATGGTGAAAGAGTTTCCATTATGATACTTGTCTCCCACAATGCATCGCACATATGTTCAGTAACGTGCATACAAAGTTTATTTTCGGGTATTTTCTGAGCATTGCGATTTTATCTCGATAGACACGGCATTCGCGGGCGTTGCTAAGACACGCACCACTGTACCGTGCATTTCTACGGGCCCTGTGCGAGCTGCTGTGGAACGCCAGTCGAAGAGCTGGTGAAAGTCGATAAAACAGCGCAAATTCCACTATGAGAGAATTGTGAGAAAACTACATAATAAATATGTTCAGTTGCACATTTAGCATTGTCGGGTCCAGAAATTTGATGTTCGCTCCCGAAAATAGAATCCGGTGGGAGCCGGTGTAGAATATATGATTAATGAAAACTCCACGCATGCGCTAAGATTTACCTGTACGTATAGGTACAGGTGCATACGTTAGGAACTATTTTTTTTATTTTGTCATACTGCTATATTTATTGATAAATTTATTTAACGTACACAAACATAAGCTACTCTCGGCAAAGTTGTAAATCGTCAGTCAAAACAGTGATGACAAATTGTTCTTGAGATTGGCAAAAATTCTGTAAAATCCGTAGAAACAGTTAATTTCCACAAAGCGTCACGCGCTTTGCAAACCCTATCAACAATAAATTTGTCCTTTAGTCTCCAGGGGCAGTAACACAAATGAGACATGCTGCAATTTTCAAAATGTAAAGAAAAGGTTAATTTATTTGTGGTTTCCATGGATACTGAGGTATTAGGGCTTTATTTCAATTGCATGCTTATCAGAATGACATGAATTGATGTTTGGTAATACCAGTTTTCGATTACTATAACGACCGTTGTCTACGATCCGTCAACAAATTATCTGAAAATTATCAATGTTGACAGGTAGGCGTGCGTGGAACACGATTTGAAACTGCACAATGAAACAGCTATATAGCAATTGCGACTTCACGATACGGTGTTTCAGACGTTGTTTTGCGACCGTGTGGTCATATACAACTGAGTCCGACACGCGTGGTTTGGTAAGAATAGTAATAATGTGCCAGTGGCTCACGTAAATGAAATTGGATGCGGCAAGACCCCAGTTGAGTCGAGGTATATTCACAAGGCAGAGTTTGACAGGTCAAAAAACTCCGTAACGTCAACAAACTGCTCTCTGATTGGCCTAACTGTCTGACATGGTTTCGTAGACAATCAGCCACATTCTTGTAAGTTGCCTTACATGGACTCCAGGCTCGTGAACTTGTTCCCGTGACACAAGCCCAGACGACGAAGGCAAGATACGAAGCTGCATAGTTTTGTTTTGCCAAACTGATATTTATGTCCGCAACGTAGGTCCTCATAAACAAAATACAATTCAACTTTTAGATTCCTGCTACTTGATATCCGCACAATGTCCGAGTCAGTGAAGAGGACGGCATCACATTATAATGAGATTCGAAAATATATTGTTTTTTCTACACTGCCACCTGAGGCCCCGTCACTGTGGATCAATTACTGGAAAACAATAGTATCTGTATATTAAGGATAATAACTGTTTAACACATCATATCAAAAAAGAGACATGTAAACACAAGTTATTGTACGTTCATTCCAATCGCTGCAGACGTCTTACTGCGTTGTGGGGCCCAACCGGCGTATACAACTTGTGTAAAAATTCTCAGCTGTTTACAAGAATTTCGAACGCGTTCTGACGCATGCGCGGGTGACGACTCCCTCGCTTTAATATTGCTCGAAACGGTGGACACTTTTTCAACAGTTGATTAAGAACTTGGCAACGAGTCGCTGAAATATAAGAGTTGACTTGCGACCTTCTATATAACCAGAATGAATTGACAGTGCTAACTAACGATGGGACGTACTAAGGTTATCAGCCCTGTATAGCGCCCTCACATGCCTATCGCTTTACAAACGCACGTCACAGGCAAGATAATTTCTTTGTTCGAGTTTCGTTTCAGATAATATGGTTCAATCAGCTAGGTGGTTGGTAGTCGGCTTATTTATTGTTATGATGCCAATTCCCGGTAAGTTGACTCATTATTTTCCCGTGGTGTCGTGTCGCGTTCAAGGCTCACGACCGATAAAAGCATTTACATTGGAATTTTGACTTAAAACGTACAAACAATGAATCGCAAGAATAAGCAAGATGCAAAAATCATTTTACACATTTTGGAACCGTGTCTTCAACCCTTCGGCACTTTATTTATTTTCAAACAATTCGATCAAGACACATCTGTATCCAACAGAGCACTGTTGTCATATTGTCCAAAATTAAGGTATTGTAGATTATTACAGACACAATTTCAAAATATGCACTAAAGTTTTTAGGAGAAACTCGATTTATGGTTAGTTGAACATTGCTCATCTGTTCTTGTGTGGGGCAGACTTTGTGACTGCATATGCGTAATTGCATACTCTCATCGGCTATAGTGCAAAGAACAAACTCTGCTTCAAGTTGATG